AAGCATTTGTAAACCTAATTTTTTAAGGATATAAGTTGTAGATATGTATAAGGCAGTGATAAAGTACAATATTATATGCTAAAGAAATAGGTTTAAAAATGCTTATTGCGCTTACAAGGATTCAAGGTTCTTTTAATGTCATTCGCATCACATGTGGTACATGAGGTGGAACAAAATTGTGTACACGTGGTCCCAGTTACATCCATAAAATGTAAAAGAAAAACAGTAATAAGATCTAAGATGTGAACTAAGAAAAATGTTAACTAAAAATACGCTAAGCACTAGTAGTTCAAAAACATTACACCAAACAGCAGCACGAACATGAGTCTGTGTGAGCAGATGAGCACGCATGAACACAGCAACATGAAACAGATCAGCAGCAACATGAAAGTGATCAGCAGCAACATGATGTGATTTTTTTTTCACAGTGATTATTCTGGTTAGAGATTCATGAGTCTAACAGCCTCAGGGTAGAAGCTGTTCCTCAGTCTAGTGGTTCTACACTTAATGCTCCTCAACCTCCTGCTTGAGAAGAGCAAGGCAAAAAGTGAGTGTGCTGGGTGAGTGGGGTCCTTCATGATGCAGGTGTCTCTCTTCCTGCATCTGGAGGTGTAGATGTCTGTGACGGTGGGGAGACTGATTCCAACATCTTCTGTGCAGCCTTCACCACTCTCTGCAAAGCTTTTCTTTCTGCAGCTGTGCAGCCTCCATGCCACATGTTGATGCTGGAGCACAGGATGCTTTCCAGTGCACACTAGGTAGTACAAGGTACTAAGTCTGAAATGTGTAATATAACAACTCTAGATGAAATATATAGGTGACAGATTTGGCTCACTATTTGGCAAGAAACTGCCCAGTTTTGTCTCTCCGTCACCCTTAATTAATGCTTAATAAGCAGTTATTAATGATTTATAAAGTGTTTATAAAGGAATAAATATCTGTAAACTATTTATTAGATATCTATAATGGGAGCCTTATTGTAAAGTGGTACCCTTATTTTTCATAAGCTTGAGGAAACCTGAATAATTTGGTGTTCAGTTGTAACTCACAGCCTCGGTCTCATTTTATTTCCTTCAAAATGTCTTATGTGTCTAAAAGGTCTTTTTTTTTTTTACTCAAATTCCTTTCATATGCAAACTGTCTTGCTTTAAAATGTCACCCCCTCCTCCTTAATTAAGCCCTGACATTGTTCTGTGTATTGTAAACAATTCATGGAGGGAAACATACAACCTGTTGTGGAAAGAGATTAAACTGTGTCAGAAGGTTTTCTTATTTCTACCAAGGCTTCCTGTTTGGACTCTGGTTCTTTGGGTTAAGATGGTATAAACAGGGATTTAAAGAAATAATATAGAAGGCTTTTACCCACATTTTGGGCTTTTTAAGAGTTTTTCCTTTTACTAAGTATCACTAACATTGGACCATGCTATATTTTGGCTCAAAACTTCAGCAGTTCCTGTAACTGTCAGCACTGTCTGTCTTTTAGCAAAATATCTGATGAACCACTGGACAGATTTTAGTAAAACTCTCTGCACATCTACAACATATGGAGCCAACCCAGTTCAAGATGGCTGCCAGAGCTAACTGACCTTGGCCAATACAAAGATAGAACTGGGTCAGTTTTACACAGTACCTACAGGGTAAATACTTTCTGCAGCAATTACAGGGAATTAAAAAGGTATACAGTAGTCCATCATTTATTGCAGTAGTTACGCTCAAGTACCACCCCCCACCCCCCCGCCCCTGCTATAAGTGAAAAGTAGCGACGTTAGAAACTCTTCCCATACTCTTACAATGTTGTAAACTTAAGCATCATTTTAACAACGTACATACAGTACTGTATATGTAGCTACTAAATTTTACTCACCAGGCTCTGCAGAACAGCAACGGCTCGGTTCCATTTCTGCAGAACTACCCTGCAGCAATAAAGCTCACAATCGATGTTGTTAACTCTTAAAACCTACTAATTTTAACAACATACTTATATGTAGCTAATAAATTTTACTTAACAGCTGTGCAGAACAGCAGCGGCTCGGTTTCGCTCCGACCTGAGAGAAAAAAAAAGTCCTGGTGGACTCCAAATGGAGCACCGGACCTTTGGTGGTGCCTGCCCTGCTCGGAAGTCCTCATGGGCCGGCTAGCATCTCTCAAGAGCACCCATGGGTCTGGAGATCTGATTCTGCTCCGGTTCTAGACTGGTTCCCCATGGGTTCTGTGCAGTTGTGTAGTCCACATTTTTGTAGTGGGTATACTGTGCTTAGAAACCGAAGTACACTGGTTAGCACGATGTAATCATCAATTTATTCAGATTTTTAAGCATATTGAACATTTCCAAATTTCTCTGATGCTTATATTTGAATAAATGAACAACAAACTTTGTACAACAGTTGACTTTGTATTAAAAACATGTCATATAATTTATAAAACAGTATCATGGCAAAATATGTTCAAATATTAAGTAAAAAGTACAGAAGTATCAATTATACAATAATTTGCTGGATAAGCAAATGTAATAAACAAGAGTTGCATATAGAATCAGAATCAGAATAAGCTTTATTATCATTGCACCGAGATACAACAAGAATATGTCCGTACAATTCTCTGAAAGGTGGGCGGAGTGCACGAAGCTGCTGCTATAAAGCGCGGCCTTCTTATCCTTTTCAGAATACATATTTTAGGTGGAAAAAAGGACAAAAACAAGAAGGAGAGGAATACAAAGAAGATCTCTTCACACCTTGTCCTAACAGGACTTGATTTAAGACATAAAGAAACTCTGCCAACATGCACATTTATGAACACGTTACATATTCATTTGACGACGGGGCGGTCCATGAAGCACTAACAGATAGTCCATTGTCCTGATAAGATGATGGTCAGCCGGCACAGTTCTGATAAGCCTCCACAGAAGGGGGGGGGGGGGGGGGGGTTGCGATAGATGAAGCTTTTCCTTAGTTTACACATTTCCCAGGAGAAACTGATAAGTCGACCTGTTTCGTGGCCAACCGGGGGAGTCAGATTCAAATGATCCACAATTGTTGATTTATTCAGGCAGACTATTTTCCGTCAGCCTTGAGTTTGTACTGATAACTTTCCGAGGTCTAAAATGGCCAGATTAGGGTGCATTCCACTGGTCAGTGCTTATGAGCCTCTTCAAGATGGTGTTTTCATGCTGACGAGTCCCAAAGCCGCAGGTGGCCTGCGATTCAAATCACTTCCATCTTACAGTTTAGCTCGTAAATCAGCTGATTTTGAGTCCTCAAAGCACGAACCAGACCTTCACATAGGCAGCAGCCTGACCAGGCCAAATTAGCTGCGGCCGTCTTCCTTGTATGTTGATAAACCAGGATCCAAACTATTCCAAAAACTGGAAACCTGTTATCATGAATCTAATTATATGCAGTTTTGGCATTCTCGATCAACAGCAGAGGTAGACACATCACATTCCATTTCCCCAGAGATGTATCCAGCTGCATGCGTGTCGTCTGAGTAGATGAGGGTTCTCCAGGACCCTGCCACTTTGTTGAAAAAAATGTGTAATTTGCATCGAAAGTCCAGTTGGTCAGATCCAAAACAGTAGTTTTCATTTTGGAATATATGTAAAAATAGGAGCTGCTCCGATACACAGACAGAGAGCAAAAAAGCAGGAGGAGAACAGGGAGAGGGAAGGAAAGCGCACGCATCGTTACAGAGCCAGTGAGGATAGATTGTTACAGAAGCATTTAACTACCATTTAACGTATCAATGACATGTGCCTAATGATATGTATTGATTAATTGGGTACTTTTAAGTGGATATACTTAAATTCTTAAACTTTCTAGTGGGTATACTCTGTATACCTGCGTATCACGTAGACTATACTGCTGGTTCTGTGCGGCTCTCTGCATTTGCTTTATTCTGAAGTCAGTGTAATAAGCACCAAACTTTTTCCAATCATATCAAAACTTTCCCAGCAGAAGCCAACGGGGCTTCTGGGTGAGGCCCTGTTGGCCTCTGGGAAATGTAGTCATTATGAGCAGGGATGCAGTGTGAACTTATCGAGGGGAAACTACAAAATGGTGGCGCATGTCCAAAGTATTTTATTTTTCCTTAACTTTTTAACTGTACTGTATCCCGTACTGTCCCAATCATGTGAGTAATATTAAAGTTGACAATCATGTGTCCTGTACAATTTTTTTAATATACCATATATATATATAAAAATATGTTTTTCCTCATGTTCAGTCTTGCTTTGAAAACCCGCGAAAGAGCGAATCCGCAAAAGTCAAACCGCCAAGTAGTGAGGGACTACTGTTTATTATGGTAAGGGGGTGCACGTATGGAGGTAACTATGGGGTATGTAGGGAAGGTAACATTGTGGCTGGCTTTTTTTCTGACACCTTGTCTACTTTTACAACTAGATTTAAGAATTTCCTTCTTGATAAATATACTGTGGGTCGGCTTGGGTTTCTTGAGCTATCCCTTAGTTCTGCTGCTATAGGCGTAGACTGCTGGAGGACAAACTGACTGTATCACCTCACTCTGCTGCTGTCTTTGCTCTACTCTCCATGTTTGTGGAGCCTGTTTCCTGTGGAGCCCCAGCCCAGTCGCAGCAAACAGTTGCCTGTCCTGAACCTGGTTCTGCTGGAGGTTTCTTCATGTTAAAAGGGAGTTGTTTTGCTTAAATGGATCTGGATTGTAGAGGTTGCAGACCCCCTGATCTACACCCTGTGATTCATCCCCCTGTACAGGACCAGTGTCTCCAGTCAGGGGATGATGGGGAAACAACCCAGCATGCATGGAGGTTTAAAGTGAGGAGAAGGGGGTGTTCTCTTGAACTGTTCCTCTCCTCCTCTGTCAGTGTTGTGACCCACCGAGCTACACATCCATGAGTGAAGCGGGGAGGGCTGGAGGAGGAGGAGGGCTGAGCCAATGGGCGCAGGGCTGTCTAATTAAACCCCTACACGTAGAGCCAACCCCCCACCCCTCATTTAAATCCACATCACTGATGCCAGAGAGCTGTCCTGTGGAGGAGAGGAAGCATCCCGCAGCATCACGGCTGCAGCCAGCTCCGGCTGCTTTAGCTCAACTGAAAGCGCGTGTTAGACTGTGCGTGACACGGTGTGCGTGCGTGCGTGAGGAAGAAGCTGTGGGTCAAACTACAAAAGAGATCCGCTTTGACAAGGTTATTCTTCCCGGAGCTCCGGAGGCACGGAAGGAGCATCCGCGCGTCTCCAACCCGGCTGTCCTGCACGCGCAGCGGGGACCCCCTCCACCCACAGCGGGTAAGGAGGCGAAACAAAGGGGGGGTCGATGTTTGTTTGTTTGTCACATCTTCCTGGAGCCGCTTCTGGAGAGGAAACACGAGTCGGTGTGAAAATATGAGCTCCGACCGGAAACATCCCCGAGCTGCGCGTTTGACGCGCGTGCGCCGTTCCGTGCATGTAAAGTCCAAATGTTGAAGAGTCGTTAGCACAGGAGCCCATGTAGGCCGTTTTTTTTATGAATGATGTTAACGTGGGACAAAGGGCAGGATGTCTGCGCTTTAAAGGGACAGTTCAGCTCTTTTTAAGTAGAGTTCAGCGTGGTGGAGTAGAGGTTATAGCTACTCATTCCAAAGTCATAAAGACCAGCCCAAACCATAAAGTAAAAAGCAAAATCCACTCTTTTTTTTATCTAGTGTGTTCTTAAATTAGAACTTGTGAGCCAAATGTGTTCCTCGATATCAACCACGTGTGTTGTGACGGCCAAAGTAACAGAAAAAGAGTCAACACTGACAACATCCATGGACTTTCTGTAAGAATAACAGTTCTGATGGGTTTGACCGAATATGAGCTCAGATTTGTTAAGTATGAAGACGAAAGTGCCTTGTTTACATTCACTGCATACCCGCATTTCAGACAAGCATTGTATCTGGAATGCCAGTGAACATTTTCAAACTGCAACATTTGCTATAGTTTGGGATTCTTTTTCTTTTTTTTCATAGTTTGTATTGAGTACTTTTAATTCTGACTGGACCATCACCCTATATTACAGTAGGCCCTTGTTAATAGCGGGGGATCTGTACCCTGAAGCCCCGCGATAAGTGAAAAACTGCGAGTAGGAATAGTAGTGCAAGTAATAAGTAGTAGTTTATTTTAGTCACGCCCACTTCTCCGCTCTGCATGGAGATCAGCTGATCAGCTGCGGGAGGAAGCTTCTCCCACAGCTGTGGGCTGTGCATAGGTGCTAAATAATTAAAAATAATTTATTTTAAATAAAAATTCCATGCCAATCATGTGGCTCATCCGTCAATCAGCCAATGTGTGTCATGTCCAATCTTATTTTGAAAAATCGCGATAGAGCAAGTCCGCGAAAAATGAACTGCGATGTAGTGAGGGACTATTTTACATACATATTAGATTTTGAGGAATTCTTTGACTTTCTCCATTAGATTTATGACTGGGTGTCATTCTAGTTGATTTTACAACATAGAGCTCAAACATTTCCACCAAGTGTACAAATGTAACACTGAATTCAAGATACCCAACATATGACATATGACAACATCTGCAACAAGTACAATATTCAATTTTCATAACATTCTATATACCAAAAGATCTGAACTGTCACTTAAAGGTGCTTTTCTCCCGAACAGCACTCATCCTGCTTCTAAAACAGAGTATGTGCATTTTATTATGCAGTTATGTTTTCATATAGTTAGACCTTATCTTCAAACTGAGCTGGTATTCAGTTTTCTGACTGATTTTCATTTTTACACTTTCCCCATGCAAACATGCCTTCATGCATTCTTCTCTCACTGACTGTCAGTAGCGTTATAGCAACTAAGCAAATTAATTTATAAGCAAGGGTCCTGTGGTCCTCAGGGGCTCATGCTAACATGCCGTCTTACACAATATTTAGCGAGGTATTCATGATCTGTGCTTCTCTTTGAGTTGTGCTTCACTGATAACACCAAGTATTTGCTTCTTCATCTTTATTCTTAAATGCCACCCAGCTGTTGCCCGCCTTCCATATAATCCTTCTGGATTGAACAAGTTTGTGCCAGGCTTAGCGTCAGGGCCAGACAAGTGGCATTACAGCAAAAAGTCGTCTATTTGTAGGTCTAAACATGATTTTGGAGTCCTCCTTCCATTGTTGTGACTATTTAATTATAATTTAGGGTGGCTCGTTGTGAACAGAATAGCCAAAGCGACTTGGTGTGACAACAGGTTAATGTGAATGCTGAGGCGTGACCTGCTCATTTGATCCGTACGGGATCACATCTCGTGGAAAGCTGCTCGACTCCATCTGAAATATTCAGAATTCTGCTGCTCATGCTTCGGCGTGTTGGAGCATTATTCAGCCTGCATGCGCTTATGCTAGTCGAGTTGTTACGTAAGAGGATAAATGTGTGCTGGAGCACTACTCTCGATGTCACTTAGACTCATAAAAACACACACGCGCTCCTTCAGCTTGTGTAGTACAGTTTAAACCCAGACGCATTAGGCTCCTCGCAGATGATTTATGTCGTTAAGGTGTTTCAACCGGGGGGGGGGGGGGGGGGGTCACCATGCAGAGCAAAGAGTGATGCTTTCATTATCGCCTCTTTGTCTCCTCGTTTATTTATTGCATTTTCATTTCATTTGACTTTGTTGGACTCAAGGACAGCACAAAAGACTATTTTACTATTTAAAAAAAAAAAAAACTTATGAGCCCTAAAGGAATGCATATCACCCTCGTCCCTCCTGCCAGAGTTTTAAATGGGGATCATCTAATGTGACAAATGACAAAGTTACAGTTTAGACAATTTGAGCAAATCTGGAAAAAGATGATCAGTTGTGGATGGAAATTCAGTGAATTTTTCCTGAAATTTTAATAAAACTCATAAAGTGATTCATAAGATATTTTGCTAACAGACTGACAGTGTTGACGCCTAATGGTTAATAGAAGAAAATTCAAACAAATATCTTGACCAATATGTTAGCAATAAGAACAGAAGGGGATGAGTCTCAGCTACTGACACACAAACTTTAGGTTAACAGACTGAATCAGCCATTTTTGTGTTTTAACAGCCAGGTTGAATCTGGTTGACTCCATTTAATTAAGTGTACACAGGATATTTTGTTAACAGACAGACATGGGCAAAAAGCAGAACAGTGTATCAGAGTTGGTTGGATGAAATCAACTTTACAAAACTGAGAAAATGGGCATTCCACAAGGTTCTTGTTTAGACCCTTGTTTGTTTGTATGCTAGGATTACCCTAAAAGTTTTATAGACATTTAAATGTATATAGATGATGCTGCCATATAGGCAGTGGTGGGCACAGCTAACCAAAAAATTACCTTCGCTAACCCATAATCCACTAACTAAAAACATAGCTTTGCTAACACTAAGGCTAATAAAATGCAAAAGCTAAGGCTAACTGTTAAGGTGTCTTCACTCAGTCTGCATCACACGTCTTCGTCTCCTTCTGGTTGAAGACTGGTGGGACTGACGCAAACCTGTTGATGCTGGTTTGATTAGAAGGTGGGTGAGGTGACTTGTGGCAATTCGGCCAATCTAAACCAGAGTTACAGTCCTGTGTAACAAAGGTGGACACACAGAATGCTAAAGATGCTACATGCAAACACAAGGTGCAGGACGCACCCGTGTAGCGCTGCTTGCGTGTGGGAATAGTTGTGGTTTCGTTTCAGTTAAATGGCATAAAAATAGAAGTTTACACAGCAGAGGAAGCATTTAAGCTATGCTGTTCAGCTGACCAATCACGTCTGTCATAGCATATTTAATGTAAGGTGAGCAGATTTCTGACATTAAATCTGGGGACATTTCCAGCTCAGAGACCAAAAATAATGAAATGTTATTACGATCAATTTAAGAAACGGGGACAGTTCCAGTTTCATTTATTTTTTTACACATTTATTCATGTTTAAACAATAAAAATCAAACGTAGCAGCAGGAATATGTCTCTCCACACACATTTCCTAAGAGAAATAAAATAAATAAAGTAATAGTAGTAGCAATGGTGTCAGAAACATTTGTAATGTGGGGGGGACACATTAGTGGGGGGGTCCTCTCCCCCAGAAAATTTTGAATAAAGTAGACGCAATTTTCTGCAATCTGATGTATTTTAACGGATTGTTAAACATCTACTGTACATTTACCTCCATAACTAAACACTTGATTCAATAACTATTTTAGAGAGCACGGCACAACAAGCAGTGTGAGGATTCTCCCATGAATCAAGTGGAATGAGTCTCTTCATTCTCTAACTGTCGACTAACTATCATAGACCTCATGACCGGAGCTTCAATCTGTGTAAGCCTGT